CCAAGAGGAAGCACGTCAAGAATGAGGCGGTGTTCCATCCCTAGCCGGCAGATCCCAAGGCATTTTCGGCCATCTCAACGGTGCATTCTATTCTTCCTCAATCTTGGCTCCAAATAATTTTATATCAAACCCACAGGATAGAAAGCAGAAAACAGTTACCGGAGGGTAGCAGGAGGTGAAAGGGAGGGATAAAGTAACTGCTTAATAGGTAAGTTCTATCGGGCCAGATTCAACTAAAAGACTTGAGGGGCCGGGGCTGGAGCAATAGCACAGCGGGGAGGGCGTTGGCCTTGCACGTGGCCGACCTGGGTTCGATTCCTGGTATCCCATCAGGTCCCCCGAGCACCACCAGGAATAATCCCTGAGTGCATGAGCCAGGAGGAGCCCCTGTGCATCACCGGGTGTGACCCAAAAAGAAAAAAAAAAAAAGAAAATAGAAAAGTCTTGAGGGGCCAGAACAATAGCAAGGTGAGTGTTTGCTTTGCATGTTCAATCCCTGGGCACCCCCAAACAGTCTGTCGAGCCCACCAGGAGTGATACCTGAGCACAGAGCCAGGAGAAAGCCCTGAGCACGACTGGGCGTGGCCCCCAAACAAAACAAAAATGTTTTGGACCTTTAAAGAGGGGGGGTAGTTGCTAAATATTATGAAATACACTGTAAAATGGCGAATTTTATCTTACTTGAATCCTACCTCAAAAAAAATTTAGGTTAAGAAAATAAAGGTCAATTTTAGATAAAACTAACCTCAGAATTTCTTCAAAAGCACTACTACCATGCTCACATGCCTTTGCGAGCAGTTTTAGACAAAATGTATTCTAAGTTAAATTATTATCAAGGAGCCACAATAATAATCAGTCAGGCATGTACTGACTTCAGCCTCACACATTGCTAACATGCTTGGCAAATTCAAGCACAGTGTCCTAGCATACAAGTGCAAATCGTATCAGAGGAAATAAGAATCAACATTAAAACATTTATTCCTCTACACCAAAGCAAATTTGCAGTCCACTTAACAGTGTACATATGGCGAATCCAGATTTTACTAGAATTCCCTTCCCTACATTCAACCAAACAGGAAAGCAGTGCGAGTTCGATAAGAAGTGACAAGCATTGTTACATAAGTAAAATATTACATATAGAGATAAATATCATATATCAAGTATCAGGTACAAATACTAATATTACATTAAAAAGTAAACAAGATTATATAAGCAGTAAACAGGCACAGGCGCAACCAATAATGGCTAAAAATATACTAACGTTATCTTGGGCAACATTACTCCCGATTAGCAAAACTTCACAACACTATCGACCAAGAAAATGTCAAGATCCAATGAAACAAGTTTGGCGTGAAAAAACCTCCTTTCTGTAAACGCCTGACAAAAGGAATCTCTGTCATGACCTTCGGGCTTTTTCCCAGACCCCACCTAGATGCCAGGATTAAAGGGAAAGATCTTCCCCAGACGAGCCCGAGATCCACTTTGAAGCAGAAGAGCTGGAGAACTGAAATCCACTTAAACCCAACCCCAAAGAATACCTGAACTCCCGAGCACTGACAGACCCAAAGCTAAACCAGGTCAGTGATTCCTGCCAAAGAACAGCTTGCTCCAAGGTGTTGACCAAACCAGGATCATTCATCAGCTTATTCGTCACTCTGCTGACTAAAAACCACTGTCAAGGCACGCCAGAGCAGACCCATAACATCCCATTCACCTCAAGGCCCAAGTGCGAAGATCAAAAAATGCCGTAAAATTAGAACTGATGTAGGGCCTGATAACAAAATAAAATAAACAAAACCGTGAAGAGAAAAAGTTGCCAAGCATCTCACGTGTTCAAGCACCAAACTTAGCGTCACCGAATGTATTTGTATTGTTACTGAAGTCAGTCTTAAATTTCTTTGAATCCTTTGAAGTATTTCAAAGTACCTGTCAGGTACAATTTAGTAGCTACTGACATGACAAATCAAGAGCCACAGAAAAAAATGAAAGCAATGTCACACAACTGTCTTGCTTCTCTGCTAGGAGTTTCTGTATTTATAGCATTCAGAGCTGCGGAAAGAAAAAAAAGTATTTCTTGTTGGGGCAGAAGTGATTGTCCAATGGTGGGCAAGGCGCTTGCCTTGCACAGGGCCAACCTGGGTTTGGTCCCTGGCACCCATAAAAGTCCCCTGAGCACCGCCACGATGAGTCCTGAGTGCAGAAGCGCAGTTAGCCCTGAGTACTGCCGGGTGTGGCCCAAAATTTAAAAAAAATAAATATTTATTCCACACTCAGTAAATAAATACCTCAGGAACTTAAAAGTGAGTATTTGATAGGGCACAAACAATGGTAATTGAAAGCCCAACAGGACTCACTGCAAATGCATTATTACCAAACATCGTTCAGAGCCAAAGCCAGGCATCTGTCTATGAAGGCGGGGCTTCAGTGAGAAAGCACCATTCCATTGTCATGTGACCCAGGTTCCAGTAAGCTCTTTGACCTATTCGTTATGTGGCATTTTTACTAGTTATTTAGCTTCCCTGGTCTCAGATTATTCACGTGAAATCACCAATATGACATCATCACCAGGAGGATTAAATGAGATAGTTTTACTCACTTAAGCATGTGAAAACAATTTTCAATCTTTTCAAATGAATCAAAGATATCAATTTTTAATATTGCAAGAAAACACAAATCCCAATGCCTGTTAGGGCACTCATATATTATGTGATAAAATGTGAACTGAAATAATTAGAACACAGATAGTAACAATATACTAATGAGGGGGAGTACATATTACAATAGTTTTCACAGAAATGAAAACAGAAATAAGGACTTAGACCCAACCCACGAGCTGGTTGGTCAATATCCAATTTCAAACACAAAAACTTCATTTAAACAATCTTTGCTTTCAGGCGAAAAAATATTATGTATGAGAAATCAATCCTTGACTCACGGGAATTTTTTTTTTCTGCAATAAAGCACAGTAACCAATTACAATATATAAAATCCTAACGTAAAAGGTTTAGGACCACCGATAAAAATTTAAGTACAATCCCAAAATGGATGTTAGGAGAATTCTGTCCTAGCCTAACAAAATTCAGCCTTTACAAAATCTTGAATCTGAACACTTTTAAAAAAATAAAGGGTGTCTTTCGAGAACACTTATCCCCAGAAAATTCACCCCAGCAGAAGCCAGGTGAAAACCTTTTTTTCCCTCACCCCTTAAAAGAAATCAAACTGGGGCTGGAGTGTAGCACAGTGGGTAGGGCGTTTGCCTGGCACGTGGCCGATCCGGGTTCGATCCCCGGCATCCCATAGGGTCCCCCAAACACCGCCAGCAGTGATTCCCGAATACATGAGCCAGGAGAAACCCCTGAGCATCGCCAGGTGGGATCCAAAAAGCAAAAATAAATAAAATAAATCAAACTATTGGCAACATTTTTTATGCCAGTTATCAAACGAAAGGTATTATTTATCTTCCTCCATCAGACCTCAAACCTGAATAAAATGTGACAGCGGGGACCCCAGTCTTTATTCAGTTGCTACTCAATTTACTGTAGCAACCGTGGCTGGAAGTAACAACTCAACAGACCTGTGTACCCTGAACACAAGCCAGCGCTTACAGACACTTGACCCTGAAAAATGGGTGAGAAACCAAAAAAAAAAAAAAAAGACATTTTCTCTGCACAAACCCATCTTCCTCTTCAGACAGAGCAGACAAGAACCCTGGCACTGAACGCTCACTCTTCCCGGCTGCACCCAGATTTACATTAAAAATTTGCACACCTAGGTAGGGAAAACTCACAATGAAATAAGTGGAAATCAAACAGCCCCCCACAACCCCCGTACTGGCCGGTAGGCGTGGAAAACGCCTAGAAATTTTATATTTAGACTGAAGTTTCAAGACTGGCAAATATATAATAATATGTGGAAGGAGGAGCCTCCCGGGACGCCCTAACCCTCAAAATCCAACGGGCAGTTAGTGGTCTCTAATGATGGAAAAGTTTATTTATATATATATATATAAAGAAAAAAAAAAGTCATGGACCGGCGGGGGCCAGAGCGATAGCACAGCGGGGAGGGCGTTCGCCTTGCACGCGGCTGCCCCGGGGTCGACCCGGGTTCGATCCCCCGGACATCCCATAGGGTTCCCCCCAGCACCGCCAGGAGTGATTCCTGAGCCGCAGAGCCAGGAGAACCCCTTCCCTGAGCATCGCCGGGGTGGGACCCAAAACAAACAAACAAACAAAAAAAGAAAATAAAGCGATGGACATAATCGGATGGAAAGAAGGAAGAGGAGGGAAAAAAAAAAGCAATGGGCATATCGCGTTAACTAAGCCCTGGGTGCCTTGCATTGCAAAACCAACGGGCGTAGCGCACTGGGCTGGGGGTACTGCATGCAAACATGCGTTAGAAAAAAAAAAAGCACATTTGGAACTCCAAAGTAAGTCAAGGCGGAGAGGCCTGAGCTTTGCAGAGCCAAGGAGCGTTGGCGGCCCCCGCGGGGGTCGCACCTGGCGCCCCCACCCCCCCAGCCCCCCACCCCGGGTCCCGCGGCGCAGGAGCGATTCCGAGCTGCTCGCGCGGCCCAGAAAAGTTCTCACCAGCGCGGCGAGCGGCGAGCGGCGAGCGGCGAGCGGCGGCGACCGGGGGGGGGGGGGGGGGGGGGGGGGCTTTTGTTTCCAGAGCAACCGACTATTCTGGGATGGGGCCGGGTGACACCCGCGCCGCGGGGGGGCCGCCCGGGCCGGGGTCGCGGGGCCGGAACCACCGGGTCAACCCGGTCCCCGCCGCGCGGCTAAAAATAGAACAGTTTTTTTTTTAAAGATCTGCAAACGCCCGCCAGCAGGCCCCGGGGCTGCACCGGGGCCCGCCGCGGGCCCCGAGCTCGCCCCCCGCCGCCGCCGCCCCCCCCGGCGCCCCGCCGCCCCCGCCCCCGCCCGGGCGCCCCGCCGCGGCCCCGCGCGAGCCAGGCCCGAGCCGCCCCCATTGTTCCCGGCCGCGCCCGGGCCGCTCACCGCCGTGCGAGCAGCAGCTCCTCTCAGCTCCGCGGCCCCGCGCCCGCCGCCGCCGCCGCCGCCGCCGCCGCCGCCGCTGCCGCCGCCGCCGCCGCTTCGGGCTCGGTCCCCGGCCGCCGGGCCACGGCCAGCGCCACCGCCGCTGCCGCCGCCGCCGCCGCCTCCGGCCTCCCACCTGCTGCTGCCGAGGCTGCTCCTGCAGCAGGGGCCATCTTGGTGCTCGGCCGCCTCTCCTTCCTCCTCCGCCGCCGCCGCCGCCGCCGCCCCGCCGCCCGCCGCCCCGGCGCTCGTTGTCCGGGTCCCCCTTCCTCTTTCTCGGGCGCCGGCCCGCCCCGGAGACTGGGGCGGAGGAGAGGGAGGCTCCGCCCCCTCGGGGGCGGGGCGACGGCGGGCGGGTAGGCGGGGCGAGTGCTGGGAAAGGGCGAGGCGAGCGGCGGGGGGCGGGGCGAGAGGTGTGTGGGCGGGGCGAGTGCTTGGGGCAGGGCGAGGCGAGAGGCGGGTGGGCGGGGCGAGCGCTGGGGCGGCAGGGCAAGGCGAGCGGTGGGGGGCGGGGCGAGAGGTAGGTGGGCGGGGCGAGAGGCGGGGGGTGTGCGGGGCGAGTGCTGGGAAAGGGCGAAGCGAGAGGCGAATGGGCGGGGCGAGAGGTAGGTGGGCGGGGCGAGAGGCGAGTGATGGGCGGGGCGAGTGCGGGGGAAGGGCGAGACGAGAGAGGAGTGGGCGGGGCTAGAATTGGGTGGGCGTGGCTAGCGGCTGGTGGTGTGCGGGGCGAGCGCTGGGGCGGCAGGGCGGCAGGGCGAGGCGAGCCGCGGGTGGGCGGGGCGAGAGGTAGGTGGGCGGGGCGAGTGCTGGGGCGGCTGGGCGAGGCGAGCGAAGAGTGGGCGGGGCTAGAATTAGGTGAGCGTGCTGAGCGCCTGGGAAGGGCGTGGCGAGCGGCGGGTGGGCGGGGCGAGCGGCGGGCGCGACTCAAAGCTCTGAGTCACCGGCCACCAACGCCCGCCGGGAGGCTGGCGACGCTCCTGGCCTCCCGGCCTCCCGGGCTCGCCCCCACGCCCTGAGCCGCAGAACTGGTCCAGCCGTCCTCCTCCCGGCCTTCCCCCGCCGGCGCCCTCCCGGCGGGCCAGCGGCCAGGTCGGGAAGGGTGACACTTGGAGATGTCCCGGCGTTTCCCAGCGGACCGCGCGCATTACCTCCCGTGGCCTGCTGAGCTCTGGCTTCCTTCCTGCCGCTTCCTTTGGGCACATCCCCCCGTCCCCCGGGCCCCCCGCGCTGGGTTTGTTCCTCGGCTTCCCCAGGTCCTGGGTTGCACGCAGCCGTCACCCCCCAGCATCCAGCCGCGGTACCCCAAGGAGCCAAGGCCGTGCTCCGCGCCCCTGCAGAGTCTCTCTCCAGGCCGGGGTGGGGGGCGGGAGGGGACCCGGAGAGAGAGCCATCTGCGAGTGGACAGGCCAAGGGAAGAGCCCGCTCCTGCAAAGGTGAGCCAGTGACTCATGGGAAGCTGATCCTCGGTGATGCCAAAGATACCAGCTGAGTTCAGGGAGTCACTGGCGAGACCCGGGGGAGACCCGTTTAGCTCTTCAGCGAGGAGGAGAAATAGAAAGATTTGTCGCCTCGTTATTCCAGCCTCGTTGCAAAAGAAAACCCAGGCTTCCCAGCCAGGAGAGGGGCCTCAGCCAGCCTGCTCACCGCTCCTTTGAGCTTTCCACCTCTTTTAGCTGCAGGCATTGGCCAAGGGGTTGGCAACGCTGTTTTCCCTGCCCTTTATTCACTGCATACCTCATACATGCGTGCAAAAACGCATGCATCATGCAGACATCACCAGCACCAAGAAAAGGATTATGTTCCGAGAAGCCTCTGCCTTTGAACTGGATGCATGCAAGCACTGTTTATCAATCATCTCCGTATGATTGATAAATAACACTTCACACACAAGCTTCCTAAATTCTGAACAGGGACGCCTTCTTTTGAGCGGTACCCGGCGACTTCTTTAGAGAAGACCTATTGATGTCTTTGTATTGATCGGACTTGAGCACTTTGAAGTTGGCTCAATCTGTAACACTCTCTTCCGCCCACTAAATTAGTAACTGAAGCCTGGCAAAGAACGAGTTTCTTGCCACCGCAGAGGGTGGTTGGTGCATGCTAATCTCCAAGCTACCCCTTGGATCAACCTTTCTCTGCTCAGACCAAGCAGGGTTGGGTGGTCCTGCTAGAAAAGACAAAAACAGATTAGGCCTCCTGCTTTTCCTCGTCCCTCCTTACTCCTAGGGAACCTTCCATAACAGTAGGTTTTAGTGACTATTGCTAAGGAAGCTTCCCTGTTTGGGAGAAGCAAGTAACCCGACTTCCATGACAAGCAATCTAGATAAGAAAATTTCTTCCAACTATTAATAGTTGTATCTCTGTGGTAAATTCCCTTCAGAATTCTTTGAGAAGAAAGTTATTTTTAAAAAATCAATATATCTTTTATATATCAGTTTAAGTAAAGTAAAGGCCCTCCCGTTGATCATCGATTTGCTCGAGCGGGCCCAGTAACGTCTCCATTGGAGACTTTGTTGTTACTGTGTTTGGCATATCGAATACTCTCGGTAGCTTGCCGGGCTCTCCGAGCGATAGCACAGTGGATAGGGTGTTCGCCTTACAAGCGGCCAACATGGCCGACCCGAGTTCGATTCCTCCGCCCCTCTCGGAGAGCCCGGCAAGCTACCGAGAGTATTCGATATGCCAAACACAGTAACAACAAAGTCTCCAATGGAGACGTTACTGGGCCTGCTCGAGCAAATCGACGATCAACGGGAGGGCCTTTATTTTTATTTATTTATTTTTAAGACTTTTTTTTTAATAGAGGGGCTCTTCAAGATACTTTTTTTTTTTTCTTTTTGGGTCACACTCGGCGATGCACAGGAGTTACTCCTGGTTCATGCACTCAGGAATTACTCCTGGTGGTGCTCGGGGGACCATATGGGATGCTGGGAATTGAACCCGGGTCGGCCGCGTGCAAGGCAAACGCCCTACCCGCTGTGCTATCGCTCCAGCCCCTCAAGATACATTTTAATGAGAGAATTATATAGGAACATTTGACCAATGAGAAGAACAGCTTTGAAGAAAGCGAGTGTTTATAATCCATGTTTATAATCTATGTGATGGTTTGTATGCTTTCAACTAGTGAGGCTGATATACACAATACAGAGAATCATGTCTCTTGAAACTATTTTTTATTTTATTTTATTTTTGCTTTTTGGGTCACACCCGACAGGCACAGGGGATACTCCTGACTCAGTACTCAGGAATTACTCCTGGCAGTGCTCAGGGGACCATATGGGATGCTGGGAATTGAACCTGAACTGGCCTCATGCAAGGCAAACGCCCTACCTGCTGTGCTATCACTCCAGCTCCCAAACTGACTCTCTTTAGAAGAAAGATAATATGGTTATTTGCAGGAATGAAATAGAGATTCTGTATTTTACCCCCACATGAACAGCTCAAGTATTCTAGCAGGTGTATTTCATTAGTTTTTTTCCCAAATTTTGCTGTTTCAATGTTTTTTGCTCTATTATCTAATAAGTCTGTTTTTAGGGTGTTGGGATTAGCAGAAATAAGATTAAGTGAGATATGTGTTGAAATTTAAATTATAAAGTTATATAAATATCTGAACTTGTAAAATTGTTGGTTTGAGAAAGAGACAGAGAGACAGAGAGCCCAGGTTACACAACTGCAGCAATAATAGACTGAAGAGATAGAACAGCAGGTAGGGCCTGGGTTTGACCCCCAGCATCCCATAGGGTCCCCTGAACACTGCCAGCAGTGATTCCTGATTGCAGAGCCAGGAAGAATCCCTGAGCATCACAGGGTGTGGCCCCAAAGCAACCAAGACAATAGGGAGGAAGGGAGGGAGGGAGGGTGGGAGGGAGGGAGGGAGGGAGGGAAGGAAGAAGAAAAAAAGAGAAAACAAATTCTCACTTTCCCTTAGGCAAAACTTAGAATACTCAAGGTTTTGGTTTTTATTTTTGAGTAGTTTGCTAGTGCTGACATCATCAGTTCCACTGACTGGTGGTTCCGCTGACTGGTCCAACAGGACTTGGCTCAGAATTCTGGAAGCTTCAAGTCCACCACCAAGGGGAAGATGTGTGTCTTTTATGTTTTATTTTTTGGTTTGGTTTTGTTGTTTGGGACCCACACCCAGCGATGCTCAGGAATCACTCCTGGCATCGCTCGGGGGACCCTATGGGATGCTGGGGATCGAACCCGGGTCAGCCGCGTGCAAGGCAAACACCCTCCCCACTGTGCTATCGCTCCAGCCCCGTAAGTTCCCACTTAATTATCAAACTACAGGACTGAGAATGTGGCTCAGGGATCAAAGCATTTACCTTGCAAATGTGAGGCCCTGAGTTCGATTTCCAGTGGCACATCGTCCCTTATTCACTACTGGGAGTAACCCCTGACCTCAAGCTGGGGACAGTCCTGGACACTTAGGGCAATATTAAGTTTGGCATGTCATGGATAGCTAAAAAAAACCCCACAACCAGATTTTGGAAGATACAACCAAGCAAGATGAAGAGGAGACTTCCATCCCTACTTCCTAAGTGAAATAAGATTAAGTGAGATATGTGTTGAAATTTAAATTATAAAGGTATATAAATATCTGAACTCGTAAAATTGTGTGTGTTTGAGAAAGGGACAGAGAGATAGAGAGATCCCAGGCTACACTAACTGCAGCAATAATAGGCTGAAGAGATAGTACACCAGGTAGGGCCTGGGTTTGACCCCCAGCATCCCATGGGCTCCCCTGAACACTGCCTAAGGTTGTACTTAGGGGGTGTCTTACCAGTTCTTTGTCATATTGTCAGCGGTCTGGGAAGAAAGATGACCCCTGTCCCCGAGAGACAGGTCACAAACCAATTAGGAAAATGTCCTATGGCAGACAGCTCGTGGAAAATGAAAGTGCAACTCCAGGTTACTCAATACATTTATTTCCCTTTTATTATCCTCCGGGTAGAAATGAAGTCTTATCTGAATGTTCCAGTGTTTTCTCAAAGCTATACCAGCCTAGGGGTGGGGGGGCCTAGAGTGATAGTTAC